CCCTCTCTCTCCCTCCCTCCCTCCCTCCCTCCCTCCCTCTTTCTTTCTTTCTTTCTTTCTTTCTTTCTTTCTTTTCTTTTCTTTTCTTTTCTTTTCTTTTCTTTTCTTTTCTTTTCTTTTCTTTTCTTTTCTTTCTGCTTATGCTTCAGTTCACCCCAAAAATGGGGAAAAAGAAGAAGCCCAAATGCAAAGTTAATCTCAAAATCTTTGGAAATGAGCTGACGATTCTTGACTGTGGCGATTTCAGAAACCAAGCAAAACATTACTATTTGAACCTGGCAGAGCTAACGATGAAGGTGTTGAAGGTAAGAGAAACTGTGATCAGTGCAATCATTTCCAAATGGCGATCTCTGGGCCATTTCAGCAATTTCAAGTAGGACAACCACCAAACTTCTTGAGACGGTTCCTTCCACTCTGCTTCCCCACGTCCAGCATCCGTACCTGTTTGTAGTAGAAAAAATAGCTCAGAGTCGTGTTAAAAATTGGTATTTTATTGCTCCCACAGGTCAGTTGACTTATCATCATTTTTACTAACTTCCCAACAGGGCCAAGAAGTCCAATGGAATAAAAGATTGAGCCTGGCAACAGAAGAAGTGTTGTTTCCAACCATCTCAGGGTTTCCTGCCTTCCTGGGTTTTAATGCTTCGATATCCGTCAACCTGACTGCCAGAGGAGACACAAACTTCAAGAAACACAACCATTTTTTCATCAATGGCTACCTCAAGCCAAGGTAGTGAGCTTCCAGATACTAGTTTTCTTCATTCTTTGCATTATTTCCGACCCAATACAGGTAGTCTTCAACAATCATTCATTTGTAAGTGATTGTTTGAAGTCACAACAGCACTGAAAAAAGCGACTTAGGGTTGTTTTTCACACCGTTGCAGCATTCTCACAGTCACATGATGCAACTGCAAATGGCCAGCTGTCTGCAAGGAGTATCAATCCTTCCATTCCCCACCATCCAGTCAGAGTTGACGAAGCTTCTTGGATGAGAAGCGAAACGTTTTCAAAGAAAATCCAGAAAGTTCAGTTGCCTCATGAAAAAAGCACCTTTGGGACAACCATGATGACTGAGAATCTCCATAAATACTTAGCAATTGGTTCATGTTTATTTATTTGATTGCAGTATTCCAAGGTCCTGTTGTCACCTGTCATGCCCCTGTCAGAGACTGAATCCAAGGAGGAAGATGAACAGCTGACAGGGAGTGGGAGTGTGGCTCCATTGGCTTGTGGAGGAAACTGGGGAAGGGCAAAGGCCGGCTGGGCAGAGCAGGGAAGTGGTAGAACAAGGGAGAGGGAGTTCAGAGGAAGACCCAGGCCCACCCCCTCCTCATCCTAGGGCACACAGGGAGGAATGGAGAAGAGAGCAACATGGGTTGCTTGGCTTACAGGGGAGGAAAGGGCCCTGATTCCCTTCATTAGCCACAGCTGGGAAGAGAGCTTAAAAGTAATGCATGCTGCTGGGAGCAAACATGAGTTTATCTTGTGTTGACTTTGCTTATCTGTGTTCCTGGCGTCCTCCCAACCGTGTTGAGTTATTGCTGTGCCTTCATGTCTGGAATTCTTGCTCTTGGCCTGCCGGACTAATTACTTCATTTTGTCTTGATTGGGCTTATAGTTACAGTTTTTTCTGACCACATTTTGGACCTGATTCTCTGCAGCGAAAAACTGGAAGAGTTTTTCTCCAGCCAGAAGGTAGCCAGAATATTGGGGGCAAAGTTGGAGCTAATAAAGAGACTCCTACTGATTATCTGACTGAGTTGCCTTTGTGCCACGCCCCGGGGCATCACATCACCTTTTGCAACCTTCTGACAAGCAAAGTTAATATGGAAGCCAGCTTCATTTGCAACCACGTTACTAACTTAACAGCTGCAGTCATTCACTTAACAAACAAATAACAGGGCAAAACTCACTTAACAACGGTCTCACTTAGCAACAGAAAATTTGGGTTCAGTTGTTTGTCATAGGTTGAGGACTACCTGCAGAAGGGTTGGAAGAGATATTATCTCAAAGACTTGAGATTCCATCAGCCATGTAAAAAAATTTTTTTTAAAAAAAAAGACGTTAAAACAATGTTCTTACAATGCAATCTCTTCTTCTCTATATATTTTGGCAGTGTTATCCTACAGATTTCTGCCCAGATGGGAACTCTAGGAGTTCTTGGGAACACTGGCTTGAAATGGTCAACCATCTTGAGATCCTCGGCCAACCTTGATGGAGGAATCCAGGTGAAAAAAGGGAAAGAATTTAAATTCTTTTGGAACACTCCCGAAGACACTATGGAACTTCTACATTTCAGGTAAAACAAACACAAAATACACAGAACTGGGGGGTCAGTAAAATGTTTCTGGAACCTCAGCTCGTCCCCAGCCAATGCAGGGAGTTTTGCAGTGATGGGAGTTGTGGTTAAAATAAAACATTCAGCTTTCCAGGAATCGATCCACGCATTGCATAAAATGAACTGCATCAACAGAAACTGAAATAATGATCAAGAGTGATGAGACACTTTGCTAGAGTTAGAATTTTTTATTGGCCAAGTGTGATTGGACACACAAGGAATTTGTCTTGGTGC